GAGAAATAATGAATGAAATAATTGGTTACATTCAAGGTGTAGGAGTGGTTTGGTGGGAAGTGAAACAACTGGAATTTCTGTATTCATGAACTAGAAAAACCTGATTCAACTCATTGACTTCTTTATAAAGTATCAGGCAAACAAGGGGCCAAAGTATGTTCAGCCATCAAATGAAAATATTAAGTAAAACATTTCAGTTAAAAACAAGAGAACCCCCAACATACACTCTTTGAAAGTTATAAAGAACATTGGAAATACATATTTACCTGAATCCCGATAAAAAGGTTTTTTTCCCTGCAAACATCTCTGCGAGCCATCCATCCACGGACATGAGACTGAATGACAATTGCCGACACACATTCGTCTCTGATAATCTGGATGTTCCTTCTACATCTTAAACCCCGGAAACTCCTCTGAATTCTTAATATTGCTTGCTTCTTGCATGCTAAATTCTTTGCCATCACCCAACCACGAAAATGGCTCTGGATTCTAGTTGCAGCCAAGTGCTGACTTTGGATGGATTTACAAAGCGCATAGTCTTTCCATAAACGCTGGATTGTTATTGCTGCTGTCGTCCAAAGATCAACTACGCTATCTTCTCTGGATATAACAGAACTTTTCTTTTCAGGTGTGGCTATTTTAGCACAAATAGCATTAACGTTATCTGGGTTTTGCATATGATTAAAAATGGTAGTCGTGTTGCAACGCCTTTGAGCAATCCAGGCTCTTATGGCCCGTTGAATGACTCTGACTGACCATTTCAAGTTGACGAAGTAATGCCTGTCAGCCATAAACGTGACATATGTTCCAAACTTTTGCAGGTGTATCCCCCTAGCTGTATGGTTAGTTATAAATTAGACAAGGTTAGAGAATTGAAAGAGAATGTTAATATATATATATAATGAACATGAAATTGGTCTTAGCTCACTTCTTGAACCACTAAGCTCCTTCATAGATGTTTTTCTCTTTAATGACAACCAAGCCAATGCAACAGTTTGCAAGACCTGAGCCGCATTTACTATTCTCTTATAGTTTTGATGTTCTTTTAATTGTCTGTAATGAGACTGTATTATTATTGCAGCATTCTCTGAAACAAAATAGAAAATGAAACGGATTATGACATTGTGTTAATTGATAGCTCATCAAAAAGGAAAATCAAAGATAAAACAACGCTGATTAAACATTTATTCAAACTAGAAATGTTCTGGTGCAAATAGAGTATGTTT